CTGTTAACCTTTTGAGAATTTTAATTTTGTGAAATTAAATATAGAATTGTTAAATAAAACTGTAAAATATTTATTATTTCACTTAAAAATAAGAATACATCTGGGAGGATGAAGTAGGAAGACTGCAAATTCAAGCCTACCTTGGACAAATTAGTGACTCAGAGGCTCTGTCTCAAAATAAAAAATAGAAGGGCAAAGGTGTATCTTAGTGTGAAGGCCATAGGTTCTATTCCCAGTATTGTAACAATAAATAACAATAAAGCAAGACATCTGTAATATGTTTGTGTACCACCACACCTGGTAACATGAAATAAAAGATTTTTATAAAAAAGATGTTTTCCAAAACAACAAAAAAATGTAGCAAAAATCAAGAACGTGGCACATGTTTGTAATCCCAGCTACTTGGGAGACTGAGGCAAGAGGGTGCCTGAGTCCAGGAGTTCCAAAGCCAGGCTGGAAAACATAACAAGTCTCAACCTTGGTGGGTGGGCGCGGGGGATAACTGGGGGTGGGGGGCCTAACAAGAAGATGGCACTGTTTCATATTTTTATAAATCCATTGTTCAGCTATTTCTCATATCTGCTAATATGCTTTGATGTGAATGCCACATTATGCAGCCTCACACTGTATTCCACTCTGCCCTTGAGAGAATAAAAGTGAAAAAACAAGTAATATGTTAATGTTAATATGAAAATACAGTTTTAACTTCATGAATGCCCCCAGGGTCTTGAGACCCCATTTTTATATTGCTAGCTTAGTTTATTCATATTTTCTTCATTTGGTTTTGATAAACTGCAAGTTTCAAGAAAATTTTTAGGATCTTGTGGTTGTTCAAATGTATTTTAAGGTTACAAAAAGGAATCGGGTTTTTTAATTCTCTGTCTATGGGGATTACCTCCTCTAGTATTATGTATTTAGCTTCTCTTAATTGTTTCTTAAACTATCAATTTATTCTAAATAATCAACTCTTAGTTTATTTCATAGTTCTATTTTTATTTTAGTTTTCTAATATATTTTTATTTTTTATCTTTAATATATTTTTTTCACCTTTTCTTGTTATACCTTATTTTTTTCTAACTTCTTGATTGGACTACTTATTTGACTTATTTTATTCTTTTTAATTTTTGAATACAAGCATTTCAAGGCTATATATTTTCCTACAAGTACTACTTTAGCTAAACTTCAGAGTTTTTTTTATGTAGTCTTTAACTGTCTTATAGCTTTGCTATTAATTTCTAGCTTTGATTTTCTTCCCTTTTGCAGCAAAACTCTTAAGAGAGTTGGCTCTACTCACCATATCTAATTCCTGCTCTCTTAAATCTATTTTAATCTCAGGCTTCTGCTACTACCACCTTCACACAACTAAATTAATTCTCATTCCTCATCTTATCTCACTTATCAGCATAACTTGACAAAGTTAATCCACATAAATTTGACTTTTTTCATGTCTGGTATAAAGACGAGCCAGGATTTATTTTCTTCCATATGGATAATCATTTGACTAAGCACCATTTATCTTTACCCATCTCATTTCTACCACTTGTCACAAATCAAGTGCCACATATGTGTACATGTTTCTGTACTCTATAAAGTGCCATTATCTGTCAGTCTTGAACCACTATTATACTTTGAGTTTTGATATCTGGAAATAAATTTCATAATTTGTTTTTCTCGATTGTCTTAGCTAGTTTCAGCTTTTTCAGTCCTTATATAAGTGTTAGAATCAGCTTGTTGATTATACTTTGAAAAGTCAGTTTTTCACTGTGATTTCACTAATTAATGTGAGAAAAACTAACATATAAATAATTTTATCTTGAAATCCATGAATGCAAGTTTATGCTTCCATTCATTTAGGTCCTTTTTTAAGCTTTATTTTTCTTTATTAATTCATGTTTGCAGTACATAATGTTCACATTCATCATGGGGAATTTGTAAATGTATAAAACATATCTCAATTATATTTTTTTATCTCTCTCCTCTCACTCATTTACCTTTTCTTTGTAAAGACTTAGGAGTCTTCTATGTTGTCATGCGTGTATTAGATTTTTGTCCCTACATATGTGATTTGTTGACAGAAATCTAAATTACATATTATCTCAATTTTGTCAGTCTTGCGTTATAGAAAGACAATTATATATTGACTTTGGTCCTGGCTAAACTCACTGCTTCATCCTAGTAACTTCCTGGGTATATAACTGTAACATCCATAAATAATAGCACTTTCTAAGCTTTATCCTTTCATTTCTTTTTCTTACATTATTGTGTTGGCTAGGCCTTTCTTCTCATTAAGAAAGTTCTAATATTGTACCATTAAATATGATGTTTGCTGCAGGTTTTGCAGATACCGTTCTTCAGATTACTTAACTTATTGTTCTAATTCATAATTTGTTTAAAATTTTGACACAGAATGTTGAATTTCATGAGAAGTTTTTTTTTCTTTAGCATTTGGTTTTATTGGCATAGAGCACTATCATTTTAGCATTTAGCACACTGTTCTACCCATATTTTTCCTTTATTCTATTAATGTAATGAATTACAGTTTTTTCTATATTATAACCAAACTTATATTTCCTAAAATAATACAAATTGGATCAAAATATATTCTAACATATTGCAAATTTAATTAATAATATATTATTTAGGATACTTCATCTGTACTCATGAGGGATCTGGCTGTGATTTTTCTGTTCTTGTCCTCACCACATCAGAGCGCAGTGTCAAAATTATGCTGGCCTTACCCAAATAACCTGACATGTGTTCCATTTCCTCTGTCCCCTAAAGAATTTGTAGATGAAATTTTACTTTGACAGCTATTTTTTTCCCCTAGCACATCAGAGCTATCTTTCTACTGTCTTCTAGCTTCTTGGTTTCTGCCCCAAATGAAACACCTCTGCCTCAGCACTACCTCACGGTACAGTCCCTCGGACCCCCCTCTGCAGCCTGCAGGCACAGCCCTGCTCTCATTGCTGTCCCAGGATGCTGAGAATGAAGCTGCTTCTGAAGCCAGTGCTTCCTGTGGAGTTACTGACCAAGCAGGAGGAACGAGAGGAAAAAATTAAATGTTTCAGTCAATCTCAGAACTGTTCCTTTGACAGTATATATTTTTCCTTTACTTTTTGTACCACGAGTTGAACTCAGGACATTGAGTTTGCTAGGCAGGCACTTACACCGCTGAGCTAAATCCCTGGCTTGATGGTATTTGTTTTCTATCTCTCAAAGATTAATTTTTTTTAACCTTACTCCTTTTGATACCTAGGTTCATATCCTTCTCCATAAGTTCAAGCAAGCTGTCAGACAAGACTGATTAGCAAAGTACAGAAACATGATGTTATGCCAGGGTCCAGGCCCACACCATCGGTGACTGACAGTGTCTACATACACTGCTTCTCTCTTGAAATGCACCCTGAAACTACTGTTGACAGAGAGAGACAGAGAGAGAGAGAGAGAGAGAAACAGACAGACAGAGACAGAAATAGACTGGACAACTACAGAGATGCTAGTCCTCTCTGTTTTAGCATCGGACCTCAGAGTGCAGAAGCCATTCTAGAAGTCCCTGCCCCAGGTGATGATGAGAAAAACTACGGCCCTAGACATGGACTCAGTGAAGCCATCCCTGTCATCTCTGCTTTTTAAACCATCCCAAATGAAGACCAATATATTGTACAGCACAAGCAAGTCAAATCTAACAGAATCTAAGTGAATTCCTGACTCGTAGAACCACATACACACAAAAGGTGGTTGTTTTATACTGATAACCTGGGAGTTACTACAATTGGAAGAAGAATCCTCCATGGAGGTCCTGAGTATTCCTGCACATTTTTACTATGCATTTCAAGAATGTAAAACCTCACCAGTTTTTACCTGGGCTATTTCTCTGGGCTAAGGATACTGCTAGCAACTTGAAGGATAAGCACATCTCTTTTCCACCCATGGCTACAAGTATTACAGTGACAGACCAACTTAATATAATCACTGAATGAGATACTTCAAAGCTGGGATTAATTTCTAAGATGATGCAGGTGGCAATTTGGGGTTCCAATCTAAGCACAGAGGGTTTACCAACACTAACCCTTCAACTGTAGTGGGTTCTAAATAACTGTTTTTGTTTCCCTAAACTTAAGTGCCCATCAAAACTCTGCTCAGTTTCTTACTCATTTTTCTTTGAATCAGCACAATACTTAAGGAAAAGGTGGTTTGAAATGCTAGGGTCATCTCTTTCTGTCTTTCTGCCTTACTAGTATTCTGGTATATTCAAATACATGTCTTCCATATTTTGTCCACTTTTCTCAATTTTTAGAGTGCTCATTCTCCAACATTACCAGAAGTCCACTCCTTAATGTATTTAATATTAAGGGGGTTAACAATTCATTTTTTTTCCCTTTCTCTTCATGATAGTCTAGACACACATCAAATGTTTTCTTTTAAAGTGTGCATTCTTCTAGTATCTTTAAAGGTGATATGTATTTTCAAATAAACCAAAAAAACCTTGTTAATTTTATAAATATCATTTGCACAAAAACATTTTGTTTGAAGCAAGGAAAACAAACCATTTGTAATGAACTGATTTTTAAAAATTCTTTGAAAGATTTTTCTATTACATTTTCACAACTTCCAAGTTCAGCCCCAACCATGTTTTTACAATTCTGCCTAGAAGGCTTTCCTGCTTACTTTTCGTTTCTCTAAGATCAACTCTTCTTAATTTAAGAAGAATTTACCAAAGTAATTTTATAATTAAATTAGAAAAGAGAAGAAAAACTATTTTGGCTATTAACATTTTAATTATGTGATTACTTACTGATAATTAAACTATCAATATTTTTAATACTCTCCTTTTCTAATCATCTCTAAAAATTTATTAACATCATCTAGAAATACAGTGACACTTATGACCTAAATATTCTAACATGAAATAGTTTTTTCTTGTCTTCCTTTTGCCTTTATGAAGACCTGAAGTTTAATTTTGAAAGTCTGAAGGAAACATTGTGATTGCCAACACTTACAGTGAAAAATACGAAAATCAATGTATGGGTGAGAGCCTCTTCTTTCTGATTCAAATCCTGCTCGGCTCCTTACACGTACATCTCCTGGAAGAACACAATGTAAGTTTAGAAGCCTATCATTTGTGAAGAAGTTTATACATGCATAGGAGGCCTATGGGGTATTATTTAAATAATGGCCTATTAATGATATAATAGCAAGGAGTTCTTTTTTTTGGTACCGGGGATCGAACTCATGACTTCGCGCTTGCCAGGCAGGCACTTATGTCACTGAGCTAAATCCCCAGCCCCATAGCAAGGAGTTCTATTGAAGGGGTTCACAAATTTTCAGTACTGAATTACAAGGCTGGATAATAATCTTTTTTAAAAAATTTACTACCATGAATAATAATTATTATTATTGTCTTTGGCGAGGCAATTCACATGCATGATAATCCAACCTAACATCACATGGAGTTAAAAGGGAAAATAAAATCTACTTTATAGGTGCCAGATAATCCTCAGAACAAAACCTTCAAAAACCACAGCAAGAAATAAATATCTATTAAGTGCCTGTTCTGTGTCTAGCACTATACTATGAACTATAAGGGACACAAAAAATAGAAAAGTACATTATTCACTTTCAAGCACAGTTAAAAATTCCATAAATATGTGGCAAATTAAGTTACAGACTTTGTCATATGCAGCTGATTAATCTTCTCTTATCTCACTGTCAGTGATATACTCAAGGCTTTTAGCTGGTTTAAAGTTTGGTTTTTATAAGCTTAGTGCTTACATGTACGTACATGACATAAAGATTTATTTCTCTATTTCACAACATGACCATAGCAGCCATATACCAAGCACTCTTTTTGTCTTACAGGAATGGCCTTACTAAATTCTCTAATAAAATTCAGGAAATTTTTTTAATTTTAATTTTTGGTATTGGGAATTGAACCCCTGATCTTGTGTTTGCCAGGCAGGCCCTGTGCCACTGAGCTATACGCCTGGCAGTTCAGGCAATTTTAATCTCCATTTTATAGACACAGAAGCTGGCCTCTGAGAAGTTAAACAGCAGGCTCCAGGCCACAAAGCACAATCTAGTTCTAGGAGTTTCAAAAAAAGCACTTTTTTCATTACATTTTGACAGCCTCCAAGTTCATATTCCCAATTCTGCAGCCCCAGTCCCCATACTCTGGCATTTCTGTCTGGAAGGCCTTCCTGGAAGAGCACCCCTTCCTTCCAGGCTCATTTTGTCTCACATGACTCTGTTCCACAATGGCTGCCTGCTTCTTCCACGTGTTCCTCTCACACGGCGACAATCATTTACTAAACACCTATATGTAGTAGGCGCTGGACACACAGCAGTGACCAACATAGCCAAGTCCTTGCTCATGAAGTTTATCTTCTCATTGAATGAGACAAAAACAGAGAATATGTAACTTCATTCTATGGAAAATGGCAAGAAGCCATTGAGAAATCCAAATAAGGTAAGAGGAGTAGGGAGGGTAAAACAGGGAGGTGAGGTCTGAAAAGGATGTGTACGAGGACAGACATGAGGGAAAGGCGACAGTAAGCCGTATGTATCAGGAGGAAGCAGTTTCCAAGGATGAAGGACAGAGGTACAAACGCCCTGAGACAGCGGTACACTTGGTAGGTTCAAAGACAGACAAAGAGGTCAGTGTGGCGGGAGTAAGGTGAGGGAAAGAACTGGTAGGGGCTGAGGTCAGAGAGCCACACACTGGGCCTGTGTGGTCATTATAGCAGCTCTGGTTATTACAGTAACATAAAACACCACGAGCGGATTTGAAACAGACAGTAAGAAGACTTAACATGCCTAAAAAGGTTTCTTCTGACTGCTACAAGACCGGTGGATACAATATCAGGTATTTTATGGCCTCACAGGACAGACAGGACCAGCTAGCTAACAAATAGAAGCAATAGATGTGGTTTATATTGGGGCGAAACGTCAGCTGATGAGATTCTACGTGTATATTGGTGGTGTGCACCATAACAGGGGTTAGCCGATGAGTTAGACATGAAGTGTAGAAGACAGAAAAGTCAGGAATCGGAAAACTACAGTTACAGTTAAATTTACCAGCATGGCAAAAAGATTACCAAACAAAGACACCTAGCAAACATAAATCTTTTTTTTTTTAAGACATGCTAAATTTGAGATATCCAAACATACCCATGTGGAGCTGTTTTGAAAAATTAAGGACAACAGGTGATCAAAATGTATGGTAAATTTTAAATTTCAAAACATTCAGTATGTGCAAGTACAAATTATCATTAATCCCTCTTACTTCAGACAGACTTACCTGTCATTCTTGTCATTTTGTGAAGCAGTTCTAGAATTCTTCTTTGTCTCTTTGTAAGATGTAATAAAAAAACACGGTAAATGCTGCTGCCAAGTACCAGTCAACAGAAAGGCAGGCTCATAAAAGCACTAAGGTGTGTCCTCATATTTACCTTATTCACGGGATTGGGCACTGCACAACTCTGGCTCTTCCCCAAGGTCAAAATGTCCACGAAAGGTAAGTATTTTAAGCTTATTCAAGATACTAAGCAGACATGATAGCACAACTGAAGACACACGTGAAATAGGGACTTCCAGAACTGCTTCAGACACTGGCAAGAATGACACACGTAAAGGGAGGAGAATATTTTGAGGAGCATAAATTGCCATGTGTTTTTCACTCTAATAATTTTTTAAAAAAAATTTAAATATTCACTTTATTTATCCATCACACTCTCTATTAAAATACCTAGTGCTGTTTTCAGGATAAGAAAATCCTAAACATGTTCATAGAATGAGATACAACAGGTAAAGAGGAAAAAGCTGAACTAGAACTGAGGCAGGTAAGACACAGAAGGTACACTAAAAGGAAAAAAGCAAAATCAAAACCTTGCATAATATTTACGCTTAAAAAATACTGAGGTATGTGAAAAATAAAGATGGCTCAATATAAAGACAGAAGAATTCTAAGCATGAGGAAAGGAGCCCCAGGAGACTCCTCTAACAAAAGCTGAGTAAATCTGCCTCCTGGACCCTCGATAGACATATAGTTCAATAATATGAAAGGGGTCACTGAGTGCATGGAGGAAGAGACAGCCCTGGCAAAGAAAGGAAAAGACATGTCAAGCATGTGTTTACACATCAGTCAACTGAGAACAAAGTATCTCCAGATACAGGTCTATCAGATCAGGTATTTTATGGTCTCATCTTCATCCATGCTGGCACTCATCTCCTTCATTTAGCAACTCTACAAACCTATTTTCAACAAAAAATATTCAAAGTTGGTATAAAATTGTATACTAATAAGGTGGGCATGTGGTCTACTCCAGTAATCCCAGCACTCTGGCAGGCTGAGGCAGGAGGATCACAAGGTTGAGCCTAACCTGGTAACTCAGTGATTTAGTGAAAACCTGTCTCAAAACAAAACAGAACAAAACAAAACAAAACAGCATTAATGAAAGCATCCTAGTTATTAAGTTAGTGATTTCTCAATTACCTATAAATCTAAAATGCCTTTCTTTGTTCATATCACATTCAACATTGGTTTTTAGACTCTAAATTTTAATGCAATAGGTTATTTCTTCTACAAATAGTTATGAAAAACTACCCAATGAAAGACATATGAACCTCAAATAGTAATATATGATAATCAAATTAATTGAAGACAGTGAAAACCGAACAGGGCTTACCTAGCATACGAATGTACAATGCAGTCTGATCAGAACTGTCATAGGAAATAGCTCCACGCCTCTAGAAAAAAACAAAACAAAACCCATTTTAATATACGATAATGAAATGTAATATGAAATCACTTCAGAGAAGTATGGTTTTATTATATATTACTTGTGAAGCATTGATCAAGAGAAGCTGGACATATAAAAGGGAATTACATGTGGTATCTGCTCTGGAAATGTCTAATTGAAGGACAAATACTTTTAATACAATAAAAAATAGTACCACAGAACTAGATTCAGAATGGAAATGAACTGTGAGTGATCCAAACTGATTTTTTTTTGCGGGGGGAGGGGGGGTTACTAGGAATTAGACTCAGGGCCTCTGTACTGCACCTACATTCCCAGGCCTTCCCTTTATTTTTATTTGAGACAAGGTCTCACTGAGTCACTAAATTGCCCATGTCGTGCCCATGATCCTTAACAAAACTGAACAAATGTCTCATTAGATTCTAAGCTCTGTGGAGGCAAGGGCTCAGTTCACTGCTGTATCACCAGCTCTAAGGCAAATTCCAACATTCAGAACAGAGCCTGGCACAATGGTAGGAATCAATAAAAGTAGTTTAATTAAAAGGTCAAAGAATTTTTAAAAAGCAGTAATAAACGAAACTGTAACTATGAGATCAATATATAAAAAAGAAAGGAATTGCAAAGAAATGAGGAAAACAAAAGAGAATCTAGAAACAACTTAAAGAATATACAGTAATACTTAATGTGATAAATGTAAGACTTAAAACCTGTAGGTCAAATTATTCATTAATAAGTGCAAAGAAAAGTATTCAACCTCTTTCAAAAGAGAAATACACATTAAAAGCATAATTTGCATTTTGACTGTTGGATTAATGATCTTCAAAAACTCTGGCATGGGGCTTACAGCCCCTCAACAAATATTTACAAATCTCAAGGGAACCATAAAGTTTTTAAATTATAAAGATTTAGTATGCAAAAACAATTCCTTGAACCTTAAATTATATCCTTAATACTTAGGATTTAAGATAAAAATATCAATTAGAATTGTGCATGACTTCATGTATTCTTTTTTTTTAAGTTCATGAAATGTAAGAGAAACAGACATTTCAAACAAAAATAAATTCTATCTATCAACACTGGTTGTCTCTAAGGGTGAGGGACAGATGTAGGTGGGATCCTTTCAATGTACAGCTTTATACTTTGTTTTTGTAGAAAGTAGAGTCATTATATAATCACAAAATAAAATTAAAAGTAAAATAACAGTCCTTTACAAAGTAAAGCCTGATCACAGACTCCAAGTGACTGAAATATACAGAACACATCTCCAGCAGCCTACTTAGCATGACTTCTAACAATAGAAAAAATGAGTAATGAAAATCATGTAGATTAGCAGTTATGGCACACTAAATTTATTTTAAGGTAATCACTTAGACTTACTTAGAGAATCACTAATTTAGATATTTGAAAGGTAGGCCCTATATTAACATTAGCAAAACTCTACCAAAAAAAACATTTAAGTATGTATTAACAAATTACTTAAGGATATACAAGTTACTCAAATCCTCCCATTAATTGAAGAGTATTAAGCAAGGCTGGTCTACAGATATTTAGCTTACATGCTATACTGAAGAACAAGACATAGTTATTACTAAATAAATCCAACAGAGACAATTTTTTAAAAAAGAATAAACTTTAAAAATTAAGTCTGAGCCCATCAATGAATACAATCTGGGTAAATCATTTACCTCTTTTAAGGATTAAGAGCACAATGAGTATTTTATTAAATTCAGTAAGCAATTTTGGTAGAAAACAAAATAACTCATTTTAGAAAAATACACTACAAATCGTGAATTGGGACAACACAATTTTGCTTCTATGTTAGAATCATTGTTTTAAAAATTTGTGCTTTATATACTAAGCCTGTTGCATACACTTAATATATAGTACTCTGAAGATTATCATTTTAAAAACTATGCATTAGAATTTTTTTATTTTTTGTTTAGAATTTTATTCTTAATAAAAACAGTTAAATAAATTTCATTAAACTCCTGTCACCAACTACCCTGAGCTCACATCCACACTCCCACCTCAACGAACCAGTGAATGGAAATAACTGAGGCTCCTAATTTAGCCATCCTGGGAACAGCTTGTAAAGCAAACTAGTATAGGTCAAAACATGGGCGAGGCTGAGCTAACCAGAAACTGACAGCCACAGCATAAACAAGTTAAACTGTAAGGTTCCAAAGCCTCCACACTGTCTGTGCTCACAGGCATTCTGAGTTCTGATAAGATACTCACCTTGAATCTGGGTGAATCATTCTTGCATAAAGATTTGACTTGAAGGCAAATGATAAAATGCATAAAAGTTGTTCACTGTATTAGTTAATAACTTGCACTGACAGACATGTTTTAAATTGCAGTGAACACATCTAGGGTACTACTATTTATTTTGCTCAAGTTTTCTATTAGATGATCTAGTACACAAAAACAAGTATATTTTTCCTACAAAGTAAACCAATAACAGAAAATGTTGTAAGTGCCTTCATACAAAATTTCATTTTGCCCAAATAACTCTGTAAGGTAGGCTTTAGTTTGTTCCATTTGTTCAAGTGAATTAATGACTAAAGGGTTTAAACACGGTAGCACTAAATAAAATTTCTGGTAATAATACCAAAAAACAGTACCATATCAGCAGTACCATAAGCACAGCTGAAGTTCCCAACCAGTTCTCTCTGATACATACAATAAGCTTTCTATGAATATATATACCTTACATGTTAGAAAAATACACTTGTGCTTGACTGCCTGAAGTATTCAAATACTGCACTTGTCCATTTCCTATTCTTCCTCTAACATTATTTTTAAAAAAATAAGACATTAGCATTCTTTTGTTTAAAAATTTAGTTTTTGATGGGCCACTTAAAAATCCACAATTCAACTAGTGCATTATTAATATTAACTTGACCTTCATTCCATAACTTGGCAAGCCAATCCTTAAAAAAATAAAAACCAAGTAAATAGCTGCCAGTAGGACACAATTAATCCTTAACTTTTAAAACAGTAGATTTTTTTGTTATGTTTTGTTTCTTAAAGAGATTTCTTCAATTATATTCATTAAGAGGACTACTTCAAGTAAGAGATCGCATGCTTAAAACATACCAAAATGTGCAAATACATAGCAGAGATTAAAATATTGCTTGAAAAAACAAATTAAGTTTTCAGGAGCTTTATGTTGCTTAGCAAAGTGGTGCTTAGCAAATAGTGATGGTCTCATTTTAATTGACTCACTGACTCACACATTTTAATTTAATACTCTTCAATATTTTAACATGGAAAGAAAAAAGATGGATGGTAGATGACAGATATCATTTTTATGTAAGTGCAGAAAAAGTAATTTAAAATAGTATAATGTTAAATATTTCTTTAGTTTTAAGCACTTGTCCAAATGGCAATTGGGCAGTTAGCATTCTATCAAGCATTTCTTAAGCCTGATGTTTACTATTAAACAATCAAAAGCAAGACGTATATAACCTTATATTTTCATCAATATATTATAGGTAAGGAACACATTTATTATTAGCAAGATCTTAAAAGGGAAATATGACATAGGGTGGAGCTTTAGTTTTTAAAAAGTTTATCATTGTTTAGAAATACTCAATAATTATAATTTTAAAATACAAGCAACAGTAAATTTTCTTTCTCCAAAAGAGAATATTTAAAAAGAGTATACCCAAAGTCCACATTAATTTTATAATAATAAAAGTTGGACTTCTTAATCATAAAAATTTCTTCAAGGGATTGATACTAAGAAAAGCTACTTTGATAGTGAGGAATGATACCATAAAAAGCCCTTGACAAGGAATAAAGTGAGGTAAAAATAAAAATTACAAGTAGTAATTTTAAGCATTTTAGCTGATAGAACTCATAGCTCCTTTAATTAATAAAATAAAAACTGATGAAAAAGACAATTATGTAGTTACTTCATTCCTATCAAATATGCAAATAAATGATTAATGTCACAATCCTCAAAATAAAAATGGCCTACCTTAGACGTGATCCACTTGATAAGAACTAAGGCCAGACACCAGATCAATGTAATTCCCATTGGATCAATCAAAAGCCTGCTGCATAATCTCTCTCCTCCCCCGGGGAGCAATGAGCAAGAAAGACTTCTCAGGAGTCTGAAAATAAGCAGCTGTCAGAGCAGAAGAGAGGGCCACTGCCTGCCATAAGCCTCAGGCAGCTGCTTTCCAACAGCGATCAGCTGACCCCTGTGGGAATGCAGAGCCCAGCCAGCCTTCTTGCCCAGTGCATGCCTAATGCCACAATCCTACTGCTGGGGCAGAAGGGCTTAAGTACTTTTGGAAGAGGGGAAACTTTCCTGTGTGACCCAACAATCTCACAAAATAGGGAGAAAAGAGATCTCAGGTTGCAAATGATTTTCAAAGGATATTTAGCAAGACAAAAAATTTCCTCCTTCTTTCCACATAGACCTGTTTCACAGGTGTGACACTCTTGTATTTAGAAATATTAATGTATTTTACTGTTTTTAATTTTTAATAACAAATTTCTTCAAATTTTTATTTCCTTTGGATTACTTTGTGAATGCCAGAGGTTATCATAAATATTGTCTGTGCTACTTTATAATTCATTCACTTTGGGTTTATTGAAAAAGGTCGGTCTAATAGGGCATTTTCAAATAATTAAAAAGTATATTGTTTTCTAAAGCACTCAACAATCTAGTTTATAATATTTTGGTGTATGTTATACTTTCACAACTGTCTAAAAGTGTATTTCTACTCACTTATCTTCATGACTTCCCTTTGCAGCTACCAGTATACAGGTAGTATTGCTGAACAAAAGAATTCCATCAAATTTTCAAGTAGTCAGCATATATTTACTGAACTGTTACTATGTGCAGAACTATGCCAAATAGTAAGGCTGAGTAAACGTAGACATGACTTCTGACCTTGTGGCACAGTTCATAGTCTGCATTAACACAATTATGCAGATAAACATAAAATTGCCACTGTAACAAGTCTCATGAAG